AAAACTGGAGTAAAAAAGCTGAGAAGAATCTTCAAGCTAGGTTCATTTTTTTTTATTCACGAGGGGGCAGATTCTTAAGACTTCAAGTAAAAATTACATTACAAGCACACACATTTATTAAAAAGAGCATAAAAGCAAACTCCAAAATCTTTAGTTCAAATGTGACCAGATAGGGAAAGACCAATGTGAGAGATTAGAGCAGTATTTCTCAATCTTGGCAACTTTTTAAGATATGTGGACTTCAACTCCTGGAATTCCTCCAGCCAGCCATGAGAAAGAATGGATTAGAGGCTGGCAACAGTCATAACAGAGATAAATGACTGACTAGATGTGTGTTATTTGCATTCCACTACTTATAAGACTGTCTTCATTTCTAATAAATGAGCCCACTGTGTGAGAAACATGTAACTGATCTTCCCTACCTAGTATATCAACATCTTCTACTTTTACCAACGGTCAGATACTGATGAGTTCTTCAACAAAGCTGGGCTTTCTTAATAACAACAGTTGTACAAACATAAGGTTCTCTTTGTTAAAGAGAAACAGACATCAAAAAGCAGTAAAACACGGAGCCTTAAACCCCTTTTTGTTTGGGGGAAAAAAGTGTTTGAACCGAGGTGTTTCTAGTTATGGGTGAACGCAATGAGAATTCAGCTGCAACAAATAGGCAGCCCATTCCCTAGGAAGGACTAATTAGATCCATCTGAGAAACTATGTCTACGCTGCTTTACACATTTCAAGAAAGAAAGCTCTGCTCTAGTCTTTTGAAAAGGCTACATCAAAACAGTTAGTCACAGCTGATGCACATCTAGTCAGTACAGTAGTGTTATTTTCTTTTCATGCTATAAAGCCTTAAGAGCCACATTAAAGCCATGGTAATAAGCCTGTCTTGCCCTGAGAAAGGCAATGAAATTTAGAGCAAAGAAAGCAAGCTTTGGCAGCATCGTTCTGAGAAATCTCCCCACTGGGCATGAATTTCAGAGGTCCCATAACAAAATAGCTTGCACATCAGATGTGTTCCATCAATGAAACAGTTAAAACTAATATTCAGGATACAGAGAGTTAACTATTTCTTTGGCAGATTTATATCTGGTACTTCAACTTTATCATGAAAATGGTAATAGATATAATTGAGTATGGGCAAACCAGCAGCAGGAGTTCACGGTTATAAGCTATGACTTCAAAGCAGATGGTCACAGTCTACCTACTGTGCAATTATGTGTGTCTCATTTATTTCAGTGATGCCAAACATTAGGAATGGCATAGCCACTGTGGGCTTACAGCAGAGTTCAGATGTTTACTAACACTGGGACCTGAAACCAAAGATCTAGCAATAAAAAAGTGACTACCAAATAACTTCTTGAAAGATTCAAAATACATTAGGAATAACCATCAGAAGCTATGTGCTTCTACTGCTAAAGCTTTTCCTAAAAAATGGGTCTATGGCCATAAGCCAGGAATGGCATGGAGTAGAACTCATTCTGGTTCCTCTAATGAGAAAAATAAACATTACTACCCCAAAAGACATAAAACAGAAAGAGTAACAAAAGAACTTTAAAATTACATTTTGCAACAGATTATTTTCATTGTATGAGCTGAACTCTGGTTAATTAGGGAGTCTACTCTTCTGATGATCCTGCAGCTCTCCTATTGTTTCTTTTTATTTTTCTTATATGTATCCATTTCATGTATTCATAACTATGTTTATAATACCTGTTATCTTGTAAGCGATTGACAAATCAAATAAATCAAATAAATAAAAATGAGCTAGAGCCGGGGTGACAAATTCACGTTGTCACATCAGGATCACGTGACGTATCAAGACTTTTTTCCCCTTTGCTAAACCGAGTGTGGGCAGTATGTGACGCATCCAGCCTATGGGCCAAGAGTTTGACAGCCCTGAGCTAGAGCCATGTCCCTTGGCCATATGAACTAGAAAGGAAGGAACCAAACACTTGTTAGTTCTAGAATGTTCTAACTGAAGCTCCACAGTAGAATCCAGAAAAGTACAGAAGTTTAAAAAAGCATTTTCTTTTAAGAGTTGAATGCTATATTCCATCACTTCCATTGAATTCTAGTATTTTTAAAACATATTTTAGAAGTAATACCAAAATATTTAAAATTATGCCAATATATGTCCATAAGAACAATTGATAAGAAAAATAAACAGGAAAAAAAAATCTCTTGGGGCAACAATTTAAAAAAAGAGATACTTTATATTATAGAAAATAGAGAGCAGGATAAATGAAATAAAGAAAAACAATTCCACTTAATTGCCTTTTCAGATACTTGAGGAGAGAGTGTGCATATGTGTATATATGTAGATAATAGTCTGTCCATTAGATGGAAGCAAATAACAGGTTGGACTCAATAGATTTTGCTGTGTTGTCTTTTGATCTCCACCTGATATCAATCTTGTCCAACTAAAACTATAATCTTCTAACCTACCATATATATCCTGATAGATTCAGGCAGAGGTGGTGGTATTCAGCAGGTTCTGACCAGTTCTGGAGAACCAGTAGTGGAAATTTTGAGTTGTTCAGATAAGCGGCAAATACTACCTCTGACTGAAGATTTTACAGTATCCTTCCCCTGCCATGCCCACCAAGCCATGCCCACAGAACCGGTAGTAAAAAAATTTGAATCCCACCACTATTCAGGATAATGATGCTGAATATATAACTTCAGTGTGTTGGTAAGATTGGCTGTATGTACAGAAGTACTTTCAATATTTATTTCCTTATACTCATTTACCCTCTCTCTAATGTGAACGTGAGGCCCTATACATGGTTGGATTCAGATCCATATTTTAAAAACAGCAGTGAAGAAAGATGAGGGGGAAAATATAATTATGGTTAGAAGGTATATTTAATCAACAAGGTCATTAAAGCAATGCAAGTGGACATAAGATTTCAAAATAAAATGGTAAGTGTGAATGATTAGAAACAAAATGTGCTTCAAAATATTTCAACGTAGTATATACATATTTATATGGAAGAAATATGCTAAATATTGCTGGAGAAAATACAAGTTTGCCAAATAATCAAAATGCATTATCTGAACCCAAACATCACAATAACACTAAAACTAACAACTTTTATTTTTTTATTTTTTTCACGCTGATGATTTCATAAAAGCAGTGAATTATTTCCTGATGTGGGAAAATGGCACATGAAACTTTTCCCTAGAAAATCTGCAAATATAACTGTTCCTTATTCTGGTTTCCAGCCACAAAGCAAGATAAAGCCAGTTGGAAGTAAACTCACGGAAGAAATGATTCCTCTGCATTCCATATCAGAACATACCAGGTGCGATTGAAAGTACGGTAAAAAGATAAAAGCACAAAGCAAAAACTACTCTGAATTCTAAGGTAAAAATATTTGACATTAAAAGAGTTGGAAATATGATAGATACAGCTAAAAATCTCAGTATATTCCCAATATATTTAGTATCAGGAGGGACCAAAATTAGCATGTTTCCTGTTTCCCAATTGAGAGATATATACATTAGAGAGGAAAATAAACTAAACAAATATTGAGAGAGCAGGACTGAGTTGGGGGAGGAGGCACTTATCTATATTTATTCTTTTGTTCCTCACTAAACAGTCTCCACAGTGGAGCAGAATATAAGATAGTATAATTCTAAGAACTAAATATTTTATATATTGTTTATTATATTATACTTTTAGCTGTTGTACTCAACAACATGTAAAATCAAGTATATAATAAACAATAGGCAACGTTATGTTTATCTATGTTACTAACTTTTACTATTAGTTTTGCTCCAAATTTAAAGTATATTTGTCCTGTATATAATCTCAAGACAAGAAGTATGTTGACATCATTTCAAAGCCAAATTATTCTCTACAAATTAGCTTCTTGAAAGATCAGGGTAGCTTGTAGATATCACAATGAATGGAATAATTGCAAAGGACCTGACTTTGAGGAAGGGCGTATATTATACAGGTAGTCCTTGACTTAAGACAGAAATCAGGATTGGAATTACTGTTGCCATCTGGTTGCCCCTGCCACCTCCCCACAATGAAGTGGGGATGAGAGCAGGAAGTTGCAAGTCCCAGATCCTCGCAAGCAAGTAGGTCCTACCAGATGGGGAAGGGCAGAAGGGTGCATGCAAGGGAGATCTGGCAAGGATTGTGGAGGGTCCACAAGATTATAAGTTACTATATGTGAACCCATGTACATTCTGAAACCATTTTTTTCTATTTGAAGCTGAAGTCCTGTACTGTTAAGAGAGCATATGTCCCAGTTGGGAGGAGGGCTCAGATGGGAAATTAACATGGACTTGTTGAGTAAACCCAAGAGGGCAAGGGTCTGACCCTCTCACCACCCTTGAATGCTTTTGAGCCTTAGCTAGTCTTTCCCAGGCAAACCTGCTGGTCTGGGAAGTAGGTATAGAACAATAAAGTAGCTAGTTTGAACTCTCGGCAGGTAATCCTCGACTTACGACAATAATTGAGCCCAAAATTTCTGTTGCTAAGCAGGACATTTGTTAAGTGACTTTTGCCCCCATTTTTGCCCCCAGCTTTCTTGCTACAGTTAATACAAGTACCGCAGTTGTTTGTAACAATGTTGTTTAGTGAATCTGGCTTCCTCATTGACTTTGCTCGTCAGAAGGTCGCAAAAGGTGATTACATGAATCTGGGACACTGCAACCATCATAAATATGAGTCAGTTGTCAAGCATTTGAATTTTGATCATGTGCTCATGGGGATGCTGGAACAGTTGTAAGTGTGAAAAATGGTAAGTCGCTTTTTTTTCAGTGCCGTTGTAACATTTGGGTCTAGTTGTTCAAGACTGACATGTACATTTATTCTGACATAAGTTTTTGATGATTACTAAGTAGTTGATTTCGTAAATGCAGATCAAGAGAAACTCTCTGGAAACTATTTAGGTACTTTATATAGGCTAAGTCTTGGAACCTTAATCAAACATAACACACAATTACAAAACGTTATTTATTACAATAGTGAGAATACATACCAAGTAAGTGGATCCTTGACAAGAAGCTACAATTGAATGAGTTGAATCTCCAAGCTGGACATATAATTTCCAGTTTTTTGCATCAGGTGGAGCAAGGGAAATCCTAAAACAAATAGGGCAATATATCACAAATAGCTTCAGTTTAGTTAATTAAGCTGGCTAAGAAAGTGCTTTTAATTGTAAAGAAAAAAAGTGATGAATCTGCTTCTTCAAACTCCACTCAACTCATGCTAGTTGGGGGTGGAGGTCAAGTATGTTACAGTCTTTGGTCTTGGGGGTTTGTGAGGGAGGCTTACACTCAGTCTTGAAACAAGACCCTAAACACTTTAGTCTGACATGACATAATGGTAGCTTCAAGGCAGATGTATCTACATTCTAATTCTCCTCTGAGAGTTAAGGCTGTTCTGTAAATAAGCAATGTCAGAAATATTGTACTCCTACTTTATTTTAGAACAGAAACAAGCTGAACTATTTTCTAATAAGAACAGCAACAAAACAGCAGTATGGGATCCCAGTGAGAAATATACATGTTTCCAATAGTCCTTACCGTAAATTCATTGAGTCTTTGAAAACAGATCAAATTACAAATTTTAAAAGAAATGAGCAATATTTGAATATATTCCTAGAAAGAAACACTTCAAAGAACAAGAAGCATATAAATGAGTTTAGACCAGTATACCAATCAGTAATATTCAAGATTTATAAAATGAAATTTTCAGGGAATTACTACTTCCAGTGCAAACTTTATATCTTTCAATAACTGCCTTTACGATCATACTAAGGCGTTTGTCCTTTCATGCTGTCCTTAAACTGCGTTCAGCTGTGATGTTCTAGACATCTGACAATGTTTAGGCTATGCCAGCTGCTTACCATGCTAATCATAATTTCACATTGTTACCCTAAGCTCTCTTCCATCCTTTTCATTTGGCTACCTGTTCATTATCATAATTGGCCCACTTTTCTCTTTGAGTTCCTCTCCTGTGATTGTATGCCCTTGTTATAACTCAACATATGTTTAGTGATTTCATTACACCAAAAGCCTATCTCTTTTCGGTTCTCTACAAATACTACAAATAATACTATACCATGCTATTTTTCTTAATTACATCTATAGAAAAGGAAGCCTAGTGAACTTAATCCCATTTAGGAAGATGTGTTATATCATCAATAAACTTCCTAACAACCAGAAACTTAGACAACAAACAAGTATTAATAACGGAACTGAATTATTGACGTACATTACAGAATGTAAATTAAAACTATAGTTTATATATACAACAATCAATCTTAAACTGTAACAGTAAATTCATAGATTTAAAAGATTCAGTATCCTAGATAAATCAAATTTTATTGAATTTAAAATATCAGGTTAATTGTTCAGTACAGTAGATTCATGAGGTACAATTCCTTATATCTTCAGTTTAAAACACACAGGTAGTCCTCAACTTACAGCAAGTCATTTTATGGCCGTTCAAAGTTACAATGGCACTGAAAAAACTAACTTACAACTGTTTTTCACACACCTGTTGCAGTATCCACAAGTCACACGATCAAAATTCAAAAGCTTGGCAACTGGTTTATATTTATGACGGTTGCAGTGTACTGGGATCATACGACCAGCTTTTCTGACCTTCTGACGAGCAAAGTCAACGGGGAATCCAGATTCACTTAACAACCATGTTACTAACTTAACAAATGCAATGATTCCCTTAACAAGAAAAGTCGTAAAATGGGGCAAACTCACTTAATGTTTCACTTGGGAACATAAATTTTGGGCTCAATTGTAGTCGTAACACAAGTACTACCTGTAGGAGGTAGTCCTCAACTTACTATAACGGAGCTTGTTATTATGGTCACAAATCATGACAGCTATAAAGTGGGTTATCCATGTGAGCAGCCCGATTTGTGGTAACCGTTTAAGCAAACTTGGTGCCTCAAGCCAATGGTTCATTATGGGCCAGTTTTGCTGAAAACTGGAAGGAAATTCCATTTTTGGGAGGGGGGGGGCAAAATTGTCATAAAGCAGAGTCATATGACTGCAGGATGCTGCAAATGGCCATAAATGCAGGCCATTTACCAAGTGTCCAACATGCAATCAGTGTGGAAGGGTGGGGGTTGGAAGTTCGGAACAGTTAAATCTGTTTAACTGTCAGTTCAAACCTGAGAGCCCTGAGCTAGAAAGCTCTATGTATTGCTTGAGGAAATAGAATAGAATAGAATAGAATAGAATAGAATAGAATAGAATAGAATAGAATAGAATAGAATAGAATAGCTTTATTGGCCAAGTGTGATTGGACACACAAGGAATTTGTCTTGGTGCAAATGCTCTCAGTGTACATAAAAGATACATTCGTCAAGAGTCAAGAATCATCAGGTACAACACTTAATGATAGTCATAGGGTACAATAAGCCTATCAAATCATACTAGGAAACAGTCAATATAAATTGTAAGGATACAAGCGACAAAGTTACAGTCATACAGTCACAAGTGGGAGGAGATGGGTGATAAGGAATGATGAGGTTTCCTCAATAAAATAAAGTCACAGAGGATTTTTTTAAAAGCAGCAATATTAATGATAGTATGTTACTAGGAGAAATCAAAAATATTTTCTGCAAGCAAAAATACCTCTTTTAGATCCGCTTGGTTTTATTGCAAATATTAAGGTAATTGTTACTGCTACATTGGATTAAGTGGAAGCAAAGAATGTTCTTTTTATTTAAATGGTATTTCAGAAATACACTTGAACCAATGTTTGTGTAACTTCGTTTCCTGAAGGTCCTCGACTTACAACAATTTGTTTAGTGACCGTTCAAAGTTACAATGGCACTGGAAAAAGTAACTTATGACTGTTTTTCATAGTTACAACCTTTCCAACATCCCTATGATCATGGGATCAAAGTTCAGGTGCTTGGCAACTGATTCGTATTTATGACCGTTGCTGTGTCCCAAGGTCATGGGATCAGAGGTGGTATTCTGACCAGGTTCTGGAGAACCGGTAGTGGGTTCTGACCAGTTCTGGAGAACCGGTAGCGGAAATTTTGAGTAGTCCAGAGAACCGGCAAATACCACCTCTGTCTGGAGATTTTACAATATCCTTCCCCTGCCACACCCACCAAGCTACGCTCACAGAACTGGTAGTAAAAAAATTTGAATCCCACCACTGTATGGGATCCCCTGAAAAGCGACGTCAATAGGGATTCACTTAACAACAGAAATTCTGGGCTGAACTGTGGTCACAGGTCGAGGACTACCTGTAGTATCTTCCTTATTACTGACATTAAAATACTGATTGGCAGCCTTGTTTTTTTTTCAGGCTTTGCAACTGCAAAGATATACAATTTTCTTCTTCACTTGCCATCACCCTATTGACTGTAAACTATTCCACTACTCGATATTAATTTAGTAGGTTCTACTCAATGTGTCGATTACTATAAGACAACATCACAAAGCGTGGCCATAAAATGACTATATTAATATGACACATAAAAACTGGGCTGTGCTTTCTGAAGCTGTCAGTCTCAGATCAGCCCCTTGATCTCAGAGGGAAAAGGCCTTCTTGAAGAGAGTGAGTTTGCAATTTTTACTCTTTCTACTTGGAATCACAAGGCTTGATTGTAAGGCTAGATGCTGCTGCAAATAGATGCATCAAGAAATTTCCATACCATATTAAATTCTGGCATTACACACCTATGCTTAGGCTCTATTCCCAAGGCTCTATTCCCAAATCCATACAGCTATGGAACAGTGAGTCTCCATCTTGTATTTGACTGAACCGGCAATCATAAAGTTCAGCTTCTTCTTCATGAAAGTGTGAGCAGTAAAGCCATTATCAACCATCTGGAACTATGGACAAAATAAAGGAAAAGGCCGCATGTTCACAGCCAGTTCATTAGTATAGCTTTTATATGGACATGTTGGAGAAGGCTTCTATATTAGTTTCAACAAATCAAGCTACTCCATATTTGCGTGTAAAACTTTTCTATTGACTAACTTGTTGGCTTCGGTCTGGAACAGCTCTTCATTTGCTGTTCTTTTTAGGCATAATGTAGGTCACACAGCAGATCAAGAAGGTCAAATATTCTCGGTGGATGCCACTGGTTTACTTTTTCTGAAACTAGCCAATGTTTCTCTTCCTGAAGCTGTCTGGATGATAGGACAAAGTGATGCTCAGAGGTTTTTATTGAAACTCTGGGACGTGTTTTATAATATTCATTTGTTGGTTGTTATTTAGTTTGAGAGGTTTATAATTTAACAATTACCTGAGGGTTGTGTTTCGGCCTCCTTCCCACTATTTCATCTTTTAAACATTAGGAAAAATAGATCTTGAAGATTGGGCAGTTGTTGTTCTGGTTTTAGCTAGGATTTTCTCTCAGAGGTGCAAATTGCCATGAGTTCTTGGTTTCTACTCTTATGGCAATAGGATGGAAAGGGAGAAGGGCTATGTTCCCCTACTCCTGAGCTTTCCATTTGATAAAAATAAAGAGTTTTTCTTCTGCAAAAGAATTAGAGCTAGCATCAATAGAAGACAGCTAAACAGTAAGAAAGACACATCTTCATTTTATCAGATACCTGCATATCAAGATAAAAGGGGAACAAGAAAAAATTCCAAAAGAACAAAGCTCCTGGCAGGAGAAATAAACATTTAAACAGTCAGCAATGTGCAGTTTATTTAAACAACCAACAAATTATAAAAGACCTGAATTAAAAAAACAACCCAGTTGTGTCCCTTTTGTCCAGATTGAAAAATGACAAGTTCTAGTACTGGAAGTTGGGCCCACTTTAGTTGCAAGAGTCTGCTGAGTAATAGATGAATGAGTGCAAGAGAAAATGCAAGCAATGAATGTTCTATTTCAATAGGCTTAGTATCTGAGAATTTGTTTTGTATCAACTGTATATCACTGTCTTTGTGTGGCAGGAGCATATAGTTATCCGAAAAAAGGGTTTCTTGAACGACCGCCTTGGACACACTTCATGTGTTCAAAGAGAGAGCTGTCCAAATGGTAGTTGATTTTACGTTCCTTCTTTCAGACAGCACGTGACAACATGCAAGTGAAGAAAAGACTGAAGAGGTCTGAAGCTGGCACATGACCCTGCTTCACCTC